TATTGCAATGTGTGCAGGCCGGAATTATAGGTCGTTCTTCATCGGATAAGATATTTTGCCTTTTTGATAATGGAAGTGAGAAGTCGTTCATTAAAAAAAATGTCTCGGAGGTTGGGGTTGAAAATATTGGGTTCGGAAAGGCTAAATATTTTTTCGTTCGGTTGTAAAACTCCTAAAAAACAAACTTGTAGTAAGGTCGAGGTTAGGCTAAGGAATATATTAAGCGGAGAAGAGACTGTGATTGAGGCATTGGAAATTGAGGAAATTTCAAAGGCAACACTTAGCCTACCTAATCCAGATGCGTGGGCAGAAATGGAGTCAAAAGGGTTTAGGCTAACATTCAGTTGTAATGAATCTTCTGAGAATTGTGAAATTTCATTGTTAATAGGTTCCGATTTTTATTGGTCTTTAACACATCGGATAAAAAGATTAGATTCATCATTGGTTGCAGTCGAGACTAGGCTAGGATGGTCTCTTCAGGGAAGGTGTGATGAGCGGAGTGATTGTACTTCCGTACATTTGGTTCACAGTGAAGATGAATCGATTTCGACTGAGCTAAGGAGATTTTGGGAGATAGAAAGTTTAGGAATACAGTACAGTCCCGCTAATCCGAACACGGCTAATCCGAACGGCCCCGCGGAAAAAATTTTATAATTTTAAGGACGAAAATCGGTGAATATTTCAATATAAAACAGTATAAACCTTAATTCAAAACAGTTCTTTATTTAATATTCACGCACTGTACATCAAGTTATTGTACAAATTTTAAAATGGAATAAACTACAGAACAGAACACTAATGTTTAGTATGAAAAATTGTACAACATAACCCGTACTCCCAGTTCAAATAGTGATTTCGCTGTTACTCCGGCTAATCCGAACACTCACGTAATCCGAACAGGGGTCGGTCCGATATTGTTCGGATTATCGGGACTGTACTGTACTTGACAAGGGTTCGATGACTTTAGGTAATGGGGATGAAGAGATACTTAGTGAGTTTGATAAATCAGTTAATTTCGTAGATGGTCGATATCGTGTAAATTTGCCATGGAAACCAGGTATGAGAGAGGCTTTACAAAATAATAAAACTGTCGCACGTAAGCGTTTTGAGGGGTTGGTTCGTAGGTTTAAATGTGATCACGAGTTGTTCTGCGAGTATAAGGATGTAATTGATGACTGTTAGGGAAGGTATTGTTGAGCGTACTTCTTGTGATTCTTTATTGGATAGTCAGGGATTTTACCTACCCCATCATGCAGTGATACGTAGCGACAAAACCACAAGTCATATTAGAATAGTATTTGATGGTTCAGCACATGAAGATGGACAGTCATCGTTAAACCAAAGTTTATATACGGGACCAAATTTGCATCCCAACATTTTAGAACTGCTTTTATGTTTTCGAAAAAGTCCTGTAGCATTTACAGCTGATGTAAAATCGGCTTTTCTTCAAATTGAATTAGATTTCCGTGATCGAGATTTTACACGTTTCTTCTGGACTGATGATTTGAATAACGAGCCATACGTTTTGAATTTCACGAGAGTTCTTTTTGGACTTCGACCTAGCCCATACCTTCTCGCAGCAACTTTAAAACATTTTAAGAAGTACCGAGAGCAATATCCTCATACATTTGAGTTGCTAAATAGTTCCATTTATGTTGATGACCTCATTTGTGGTCAGAATGATGTTCCGGACGCTCTACGTACTACCTTGGAGTGCTTACAAATATTCAGTGACGCAGGCATGTTATTGCGCAAATGGCGAAGTAATTCGAAACAACTTAATTTGTTATGGCAGCAAGAAGGTGTCAAAACGGAATCCTCTGAAACTAGTGCTACTGATCTTAGACCTCCAACTAAGGTTTTAGGACTTGCTTGGGATCCAGAAAATGATTTAATTTATTTCGATCCAAAGGATCTATTGAAGTTTATGTCACGTAGAGGAGAATCGAAAAGATTTATTCTGAGTGTGGTTGGTCGCATCTTCGACCCCATTGGAATTCTTGGCCCATTCGTTATCAAATTGAAATGTCTTCTTCAGGAACTTTGGACTCTAGGAGTTGAATGGGACTCTGAACTTCCCTCAAAGTTACGACACAAGTGGCAGCAGTGGAGTAGCGAAGCTGAGGGCTTGACTGAGATAAAGATACCACGGTTCTATTTAGGTAACATAGATCAAGAAATATCTAAGTGTGAAATACATTGTTTTTCAGACGCGAGTAAATCAGCTTATGGAACAATATTATACTTGCGGTTTGTTACTTGTAATAACGAAATCGAAACTAGTTTCATTTGTTCAAAAGGTCGTGTGGCACCTTTGAAATCATTGACGCTTCCTCGTCTTGAACTGACAGCAGCCTTATTGTCAGCTAGGTTGGCCAAACAGGTGTCATCTTGTCTCAAATTTGATGCTAATATATATTATTGGACCGATTCTCTCATTTCGTACTACTGGATACGCGGCGATTCTTCAGCGTTCAAACCATACATTAAAAATCGTGTTCAAGAGATACAATTGCTCTCTGATCCGATGCAGTGGGGACACTGTCCAGGAAAGGACAACCCTGCTGATCTCCTTTCGCGTGGTACATCTGCCGTCAAGTTAGCACAGAATGAGCTGTGGTGGCATGGCCCACCTTGGCTTAAACTAACACCCGATCATTGGCCAAATCGTCACCGAGATATTTTAGATTCGGAGCTCTGCTCGGAAGAATTAGAACATCGTTCTAGTGTGCATGTGGCAGTTACTCAACAGAGGGAAGCTCTTGTTGACATAAATCGATTCAGCAGCCTCAAGAAACTTTTGAAAACGACTGCTTGGGTTTTCCGATTCGTGAACAATGCTAGAAACATTTACAAATCGATGGACTTCTACATTACTGCAGATGAAATACAAAATGCTGAATATTTTTGGCTTAAATGTGTTCAATCCGAATTTTATTCAGCTGAGATATTAGCCTTAAACCAAAACGAACAACTTCGATCTAGCTCTGAAATAAAGAGTTTAGTGCCGTATTTGGATGAAAATAATTTATTACGACTTACTGGACGGTTGCTTGAAGCAGACTTATGCTTTGGTGAAAAGCATCCTGTTATTCTTCCTCGACGCTGTAAATTTACAGAATTACTTGTTATTAGGGAACATGAACGAATTGGTCATTGTGGCGTATCTGCAACTTTGACTCAACTTCGGAAAAATATTGGATACCTAAGGGTCGTCAGTTAGTGAAAACAATGATTCGAATCTGTCTCGTTTGTAAAAATACAGTGCCCAAACCAGCTGACCAGTTAAGTGGTCAGTTGCCCCGAGATAGAATCACCCAATCTCCTCCTTTCCAAAGTGTAGGAATTGATTTTACAGGTGCAATACTTGTTAAGGACAATCAAGGGACTCGCAAGTCTTATGTTTCTTTGTTTACATGTGCAGTCACTCGTGCCGTACACTTAGAACTTGTGTCGGACATGTCCACAAAGTGTTTTTTACTTGCTTTACGGAGATTCCTCGCTCGTAGAGGTAATTGCAAGGTAATATACTCCGATAATGCACGTACATTTAAAGCAGCTGAAAGGGAGCTAACATATTTTGCCAACATCTTGAAAGACAGTGAATTTCAAAGTTCTGTCGCAGATAAAGGTATTCACTGGAAGTTCATAGTTGAACGTGCGCCTTGGTGGGGTGGATTTTACGAACGTCTTGTTAAAACTATAAAGGATCCTTTACGTAAAATACTTGGCAGGGCACTTCTAACATTTGAAGAACTTTCAACGATACTTTCAGAAGTTGAAGTCATCCTTAATCAGCGACCACTGACATATGTGGAGAATGATCCAGGAGAGCCGGAACCGCTAACATCGGCCCACTTCCTCGAGTTAGGTTATGGTGACTGTAAATATCCTATACATTTCATCGAACTGATCGACGCCACTACGGCAAAGGAGTCGTACAAGAAAAGAAAGACTTACCGAACTCTTCTTTTAAAACAACTTTGGAGACGCTGGAAAGAACAGTATTTGCTCCAGTTAAAAACAGCTAATCATTTTAAAACACCATCTGTTCATAAGAATTTAAAATTAAACGACGTAGTTCTTGTTGAAGGAAATGTAAAATCAAAATTATTGTGGGAACTTGGAATAATCAAAGAAATATTTATTGGAAGAGACGATAACGTTAGATCTTGTCTTGTAAAAACTTTTAAAGGTCTCTTCAAAAAACCCATTCAATTGCTGTACCCTTTAGAAATTGTATAATTTACTTGTACTAATTTGTTTATATTTTTCAGATTAATGGTAGGAGATTACACATTATTATTTAATCTCTGTTAAATTTATTTTTTGTGAAATCTTGAGGTATGTATCCTAGTATTTGTTTGTTTGTAAATTGAAACTTTGTCATCTTTAAGTTTCATTATATTGTGTACCTTAATGTATATTTACTTTTTTGTTTTCTAATATGTATAATTTAGATTTGATTAGTAGTATTCTATCAGTATTTTCTTTGTAAGAATTGTATTTGAATAATTGTTTGTATTAATTGTGGTTCGATATTTACTGGGTGAACATTCTGTTCACCGGTGGGGTGTGTGCCGAAATATTGACCACGCGAGGGCGCTGGTGTGCGCACATCTGTATTAAAATTGTAAAGATCGTCAGAGTGTGTGTGTGTAACTTGTATCGTAGAATGTAAGCCGCATCGCGGCAATTCATATCTAATTAAACATTATACCTAAATTATCTCATGGAACTACTTCTTGTGAACTGTCTTAATGAATTCGCCCGGATACACACTCCTTTCGTTTCGATAGACATTGCTTCGTTTATAATTCGCTACAACAATATTAAGTGGCAAAATAGAAAATGGATTTTCCTTGCAATATTCCATTTACCTTTCTATATAGGGTGTTGGACTATTTTATTTTTGTTTGTTACCATTTATTCATTAGTTAAATTTAATTATTCCAATAAAATAGTATAGTAAAAATATAACACATCCTCAGAAATTGGGCCATCCCAGGTGAGATTCGAACCCACAACCTTTGGATTAGGAGTCCGAAGTGCTATCCAATGCACTACAGGGACACAACGAGTGATTTTACTTTCTATATATGGTGTTGGAATATTATTTTTGTTACTATTTAGGCATTAATTAAGTTTAGTTAAGGAATTAATATTTGAAAAAACTGTATTAACATTGAATGTCATCCATTGCAAGTTTTAAAAAATGTATTTCAAATTGAGTGGATGAATAAAAAGTATGTTATTTACGATTGAAAATTTGAACAAGATATATATATATATATATATATATATAGGGAGCTTGTGAACTAATAGTAGGGATTGTGATAAATAATTCAGATTTCCTTTATTGAAATTATTGTATTTCTTTATAAAGTTTCTTTTTGTTTTGTTTCAGGGTGTGCCAAAAAGTCTAAGAATGCAGAGGCTACGAACATTGTTCCTCCTATCTTATGGAACAAAAAAGTACCAAACACAGAACTCGATAAATTGAAGAAAATTATAGAAGAAAAGTATAATAAGCGTTTAGGTGAGTAAATTTTTTAAGTCTCATCAAATGTATTCAATTTTTTATGTTTTTATTTACAATAATATGATTCGAAATTGCTTCAAACAATAATTTTACTAATTCGTAAATGAATTTTGGAATTATATTCGTAAATAATTTTTAATACCGCTTTATTTATTAAAAATTATATGTAGATGTTCACAAAATAAATTCGGTAAACATATATTCATGTCATATTAATATTAATTTTCACAAAATTGTTTTTTTTTTTTTTTAATATTTATGGATTACATATTGTTAATTGCTCAAAATAAATTTTTGTAATGAAAAAAAAATTCAATTTTTTAAAAAAAATTACTTTTAGGATATAAGAATGAATAACAATTTCAAGAAACCATTATATATGCGCAAAATATTTAAAAATTCTTCTAGTTTAAAACAAATTTTAATATTTTTCACCGAATATTTTAAATTTTCATTGTAAGTCGTAATAAACAATTTTTTTTTTCTGCAATAAGTTTCATTTTCCGGAAAATTGATTTTTGGTAAACTAGTCAATTTTTGCAAATAAATCTACAAGTCAAATATTTCAAATAAGTCGAAATAAGCCTCGTATGATCATCAATTCATTTGAATCAATTGAGAGGATAAAAAAATTGGTGATTTTTTTTATTTCCCGAAAAAAATTACATACGTAAATTATTGAAAGCACTGAAGTATGAGGTACCTTGAAAGGTGCCTTGAAGGAGCAGATAGAGATCTTCCCCACTAGAAACGTATAGTCATTATAGATTTATAGATTACAGAATTTGACCCAATATTCAAAAGAACCTATTTAGAAGGTTTATGTAACTGCAGGTACAATCAAGAAGTTTTTGTAGACTTCAAGGAGAATACATATTAACAATTCTTGGAAGTTAGAATTATCTGTGTTATATTCTTTGATGCCATTTAATACTCAGCAACTTGCATATTATTATTCATTTTTTAGAATACGATTCTTTATTTACAATAAATTTAGAACAATATTAACCAATTTCGAAAAATAAATAAATAATAAATAATTTATTTTCTTTATTTAATTTTAAGTTAAATAAAAGAAATAAATGTGTATCTTTTGTTCCAAAAATTAAATACTGATAGACAATTAATTACAAATTAAATTCCTTTTGAAAAAAAATCGTCTGATATTTAACGTTATAAATTTTGGCTTTGAGCCAAAAGTCACTTAACAATTAACAATTGATTTTAAAAGGACAGAAACGTATGTAATGTGGTCATTTTAAGTTAATTTTCAAAATGTGTGTATTGTTACATTAGTTATCATCAAATTAATTCTGTCAAAAAAATTTTCAATTAATTTAATATTCTAATAATCAAAAATCTATTTCAAGCAGATATTGGCTACTCGCCTAGAAAAAATCCTTCTTAAAGTGAAAAATAATCCCAGCTTTATTATAAGTTTATCAATAATAATTTTATGAATCATTTAAATTGCCATTGTATAATTTTTCTTTAAAAATCTCAATTACTTGCTGTTTAGAAAAGAAATAAAGTTTAAACACTTCCGATGCTTCATATTTTAGTAACTTTCGGTACTTAAAAGATTTTTTTTTAAAAAAATTGTTTCTTATATATAATATTTTATTACATTCAAATACTTTTATACTTAATGTGATAATGTTCTACAGATAAATCTACAACTAATTCTTAAAACCTCTTGCTTTTTTAACAGATTCATACTGGGATCTTCAAAAATGGAGTATTGAAAATTTTGCAAATTTTTGGGAAGAAATTTGGGATTATTTGCAAATGGTCCATTCAAGTCCTTATGATCAGGTTTATCTTCTTTTCTTATTTTATTTATTGCTATTTTTTTGTTCGTTTTATTTTTAGAGAAAAAAAATTATTTTGTTACCATATTTATAAGAAAAACAATTTATATTGCCAGAAGGAATTAAGTTTAAACATGAAACTTTTTTTATCGGTTTTTAAACGAAAAAAAAAATTGTAGCCAGTTCTATAAAATATATATAATTATTTCGAAACTTTTATCCTCTACAGTTGAAAGGATATAGCGTCTTATCTAAACTTAAATATTTATCAAATATAATGAATATATAATCAATACTAATTATATTGAAATAAAAATGTATTTATTTTTCAAAAATTTACATTTTCACTCAAAAGTTGTTTTTACTCAATACTACAAAAAATACTAAAGCTCAAAGCTTTTTTTTTCAAATTATAATATTCGTTAATTATATCATATTCCGGTTTAATTAACTCTTTTGGAACACATTTTCTTTTATCAATACATTTATCTATGTTTTTGTTTAATTTAAAAGGTACGTTTATAATGAGAACTGTAGAGACTAGAAGAAAAATTTAAAAAATTGAAACACTTTACCACTCAAATTAATAGTATTGGGATTTTTTTTGTATGAAAATATTTTTAATGCATGCAATTTTTTATTTTCTATTTTTCAAAAATAATTGAAGACAACCTTTTGATGAACTTTTAATTGTCTTTACCTTACAATCTACAAGTATAAGTTTTTTAACGGGGTAAATTTTTATTCATAAAAACATGGAGATTTCTGTACATTTCAAAATACATCATACCCTCGGTTCTTAAACTTTAGATTGCTTTGAACAGCCTTGATGTATCAGCTTGCCATCGCGGATCCCCAAAATTTTTGAATACCACTCCCTGACTGCCCACACATGGCTGAGGGATTTAAAGGTTTATCAATTGTTCTAAGATTGCCTCTGCTATTTATGTAGATTTTTTCAACGCTTCTTTTTTCCCCTTTAATAAAACAGTAAGCATATACTAATTCATGTATATAAAAATATTACAAAATACTAGTTTCAAATAAATAAATAACAAGCTCAATTCTATTAGGAAATCGAGTTGGAGGTAATCGTTATCTTATTGGCTCGTAACGTAAATTCAGTTCTTAATCTTTGCACATGTGTTTCTACTATATATTTTTTTGAAAATATATTTTAGTAATTGGGGTATGTAGTTGCAAACACTAAAAAAACTGAATAAATATTCTTCATTTAAGGTATCCGACTACCCTAAAATCATGACTTTTTTCAAAAATTGACAATTTTTTAATTACTTTATTTTATAGGTCATCTTACTAGCTTAATAAAAATACCAAGGTATGTATTTTCCCTCCCCTAGAACAAAAACTACAAGCGTTTTAGTAAAAGCAGATGCCATAACTTTACACAAGGTGTTAAAGTTTAAAATGCGTTTTACTCAAAATGTGTTTTTTTTTCCAAAAAACTCAAACGGGGACAGCGATTGTTAAAAAAGTTTTTAAAATAATTGGCTGAACTTTTTTGCTTTTGTTCTGCATAACAGTAGAAGTGTTTTGATCTTCAGATTTATCAATCACTGTTTTATTTCAAAATTTACAGTCCTTTATGTAAGTATAGTCCATGTTTTTTTTAAGCAGTTTCGTATAATGACTAAGATAAAGTGCTCTAGTTTTGGTAAAAATTAAAATATCTCTTATCCTGAGGATCACTTCAAACAGGAATAACAAAGTAACACATCAAAATTGAAAATTTGAGAATTTGTTCATAAAATCTTTCTACAGAGTGGGCCCCGTTTGTGTAATTTTTTGTACATTTTTACTAGTTTTTTCTCATTATAATAATTTTTTTTCTTTTATCAATTTTAGATTTTTTTCCTTAAAAGATACTAAATAAATATAAAAATTCCACAAAAAAACCCATATCTCCATTTTTTTTAAAAAATGTTGTCGCAAGTAGTCGGATGCTTTAAATACATGTTCCAGTTAATATTTTGACTGAGGGCAATTCGTTGATCTTGTCTGCGATGACACATCTTTTAATTTTTCCACGAGGTCTTACAGAGTCTGTAAAGAGAGAAATCTTAACATTAAATGAGAGACTTTCGCGTACCCCCGGGGGTCCACGGATCACATTTTTCAGAACCGTTGCATCATACACTATGTTTTGCTAATATTATTGCGTTTTTATTCACGCAGGTCTATAAGAAAACAGGAAATGGTTTCCTCGATTGCCAATGGTTTCCCGGAGCAAAATTCAACTTCGCTGAAAATCTCATGAGAATCAGAGATGACAGAGTAGCAATTATATACGCAGGTTTGAATAACAGTTATATTTTTACTTAATTACTATTTCTTATATAAGAATTTAAAGCAATAACGCATAAAATAAAATTTCTTATTAAAATACAAAGTGATATTTATCACTGCTTCATGCCATTGTAAAGGCTGAGTGTTGCAACTTATTAGTCACGAAGAGACTTGTGTTTAAATTACCTAACCGTTTTTCAAATACCTGCTTTCACCAATAATGAGCTCAATTTTCAAAAATATGTAAAATACTAACAAATTTGTTCTATAATGTCTATGGATTAAAGTACATCTTATAAATACTAAGCAATATCTTATCAATAAATTATGTAACACAATAATTTATAAAAGAGCCTACATAGAATCAAATAATTATGACTTTTTAAACAGTTTTGAACCTACTACATTTATCG